TAAAACAATAAAAGTACAGTTCACTGTAGTTGAAGTCATTAGTTTTTTGCTTTCTTTCTGCTCAACGCTGTCGCAACCTCTCTTCCAAAGAAAGGATCTAGGAGACAGTTATTTATAACTTAGAATAAACTGGAAACTATGAATGTCGTTATGATGCCTTTAGCTGTAAAAGTTAAAATAGAATAGCATTTTAAAAAAGAGCAAACAAAAATTACAATAATAGTACCATTTAAAAATAATAGTAGAAAAAGCAAACGAATAGAAAATGAAATAATAAAGTCTAAATTGTGCTTAACAATTATTGTAAAAGTACTTGTGCAACTGGAAACAGTCGGTGCTACTTATTAGCAATACAACGATCCAATTTGAGAATTATTTCAGACATTGTTGGTCGTTTGTCTGGTTCTTCATTGATACACAAAACTATGAGTTCATACAACTGAGGTGAGCTGACTTTGACAGTCTCAAACTTTTCTGCGTTTGGAAAATGGCATGTTATCATTTCGCATAAGAGAACGCCATAGCTATAAGAATCCATCTTTGTTGTTTGCTTTCTTGTTCTCCTATGAAGTGTTGCAATACTCTCGGGAGCACTATAGACAGCTGCTCCTGGTGCTTCAGTGACTGCTGCACGAGCGAATTTAGCTGATCCAAAGTCGGATATCTTAGTCTTCCATTTGTTGTGTCCCTTTGATTCCAGTAGTACATTAGCACTGCTGACATCACGATGAATAATAGGATCAGGTAGACAGTGGAGTGTAGTTTAAACCCACAGCTACATCACGCATTATAGATAGAATCACTGGTCTACAGCCAGGATCAGTAGTAAGCTCCTTCCTCTCATAAGCTTTACGCAATGAGGTATCCATTAATTCTGTGATAATCAAAGGATCATCATCATCATCTAACACAGCTCCTATAAACTGGAGGAGATTAGGATGACGCAATTGAGACATTGTGTTTATCTCTCTATGAAGGAGATCCATATTATCCTCACTTTTAATGACATCATGCATCTGTTTCACAGCTACTCTTTGTCCTCTGAACTCTCCCATCCAGATTACACCCCAGCCTCCTCTGCCTAGCTCTTTCCTTGACAGTGATATTTCAGAACGATTGATCTTCCAATTATTTTCTAATTTTTGCAGTGAACTTTGTAATTTGGCCACCTCATTTAGTTTTGATGCTAGTTCTGTTTGTGTTTGAACTAACCTTTCATTAACCTCTTGTAATCTTTCATTCTCCTCCTGTGACTTTTGAAGAGCGATTCTGAGCCTTTTGTTTATTTCTTGTAGCTCCTGATAATTCTTTGTGAGGGCATCATGTGATTTTTGAAGCTGCTGGTGATCCTTTCTGAGATTATCGTGTGAATATTGAGCATTGATATATTTTGAGGTTGTAAGTCCTTCCTGCCATTCTATGTTAGATGTAGGAGGCATTGCTTCAGTGATATTATCATCAGCATATAAAAGGTGCTCATCCTTTGGCTATAAAAGAGAGAAGTAAGAGAAGGAGAAGGAGTACAGGGCTAACAAAAATAATGTTAAAGTGTACAAATTAGACTTTTCAAAATTGTTAATTTATTAAATTTTTTCAATGAGAAATTTATAGGACAAAAGGTCATCAATAACTGTTCTCCAACAAATTCTTACTAATGTACAGTATATATGTATGTACATAAACAAAAAAATGTCCAGACAAACATTCTTCAAATCCAAGGCTCAAAGGAAAACACATAATTTTGAAGTGGTTTTAATTTTTTAATTCGTCAAAAATAATGGTGAGACTTTTCAATTTTCATGATAACTTGAGCAAAAAGCATCAAAAAATTGGGTGTGACTTTTGGGATTAATTTTGCCACAAGACTTCAAAAACTCTAACAATTTTCATCAGATTTAAATTCCTTACGCTATATACATGTATAAAGTTTGAGTTAATTACTTCCAATCACAAATTTAGGTTATATATAGACCAAAAATGATGCGTGACTCACATAATCCTCCTCCAGCACACTAGATATGTGTATCTCAGTACCATCTGGAGTGAGTATTGACTGAAAGTCAGGTGGTGCATCACTCTGAGTCTGGACAGTGAAAAACAAAAATGGATAAATAAATAATGTATGTATGACTGATTACTGTATCCATATATTTTGTGTCTTGTTTAAGAGTATTCAATGGACAGAAGTAACCTCTACCAGGAGGACAGGTAAAGAATCTTATTCCACGCCATGTACCATCAGTACAATCTCGTAATGGCTTCTCCTATTAATGATACATTAACTAATAAATGTGACCTAACTTGATGATTTACCATCTCCACTCCAGCTATTGTTCCAGGGTAGTCAGGTACTGGTCCTATCCACTTTACTACACCATACAATGGATCACCTTTTACTGTATCAATACGCACCATTGAACCAATAGTGAACTGATGATGAGGATCAGGAGAAGGGTCACCGCAACCATGATAACCAGGAGGATCATGATGACCCCTATATTGATTATCACGATTATAACCTTGATGATTACCACCACGATAATCAGCAGGAGGATCAGGAGAATGACGAAGATTAGGAGAGTATGGATGATGAGTATTGTATGAAGAAAGGCTCTTGTATCCTTCTTCATGATG